GTGTCAGATTATAATAGCCGTCATCTTTATTGTAGTGAGGGTGTGTGTCAGACCACATTTGCGTTTGTTTGTTTTTATTATTCTTTTTATTTCTTTTGGGTGTAGCGAAATTTCCGGTTGTGGTTTCTTTCCCCCAATTTTTGCCAGCGGGTCTGCAATCTCGTTACCCTGGATCTGGCAGTGGCCCGGGATCCACTGCAGCACAATTCTGCTGCAGGTATTTATTAGCCTCACTAGTGCTGTCATAAGTGTTTGAATATAGGACTCTGGATTTTTTAGGGATTGCAGGACTGATTTGGCATCTGTAAGAAATACAATCTGACTATTCGGTGATTCAGGGTGTTCTGACAGGAGGTTTGCTGCATGCTCTATAGCTTCTTTTTCTGCCCTAAAATTGTCGGATAGGCTGCCTGTGGCTATTGCCTTTTCCAGGCTTTCTCCGCTTGGCCATTCAATAAGGACGCCAGCCCCGCCATTTTTTGTGGCATCTTCAGCTGAGCCATCTGTGAAAACTCTAATCCAGGTATTGCTGGGGTACTGATCCTTAATGTGTTTATTTGTTATTTTCTTAAGTTCTTCTAGATCATAGTCAGATTTTTTTCTAAGGTGTCTATTGAGTCAATAATGGTTAAATGACAGTGGGAGATCCAAGGCGGAGAGAGGTTTTGAGTTTTTATTGCTTCAGGAATGATATTTTCGATTTCATATTTCTTTTTAAGATTCTTTGCTTCTTTGATGAAACTTGTTCTTTGTAGTCTGGTTGATGGACTGGGTTTCTGGAGTTTTTGTTTTAGGTTGTTATGGTTTTCCAGTGCCTCTAGCTTTGTGTATTGAGTGAGGATTTTTGATTCTCTTCTTTCTTCTATTGAGCTAAGAGCGGCTATTTCCTCCATAGCTTTTATATGTGTTGTTTTCATGGCTCCTGTCATTATTCTCAAACCAATGTTCTGAACTTTGTCAATTTTGCTAATATTTGTTTTTGCTGCTGAGCCCCAAGCCGAAGCACCATATTCTAACGTAGGTCTCACATAGCTGGTGTAGGTTTTTTTCAGGATGTGATGATTTGCTCCCCAGTCTGTTCCTGCCAGTTTCCTCATTAGATTAAGTCTTTTAATCCCATTACTTTGTGTGTTTTCTATTTGTTTTCTCCAGGTAAGTCGAGTGTCAAAAGTGACTCAAAGGTATTTGGGGTGGTCATTTTTTCTAGCTCTTGGTTTTCTAGGGTTAGTTTCATTTTTGGATGTTTAGTTGATAAGGTGAAGATTGAATAATTTGTTTTCTTGGTATTGATGGATAAGCCCCAGTTTTTGGTCCATTTGCCGAGCTTGTCAAGTGTTTTTTACTCTTTTGTATACGTCAACAAAAGAACATGAAGAAAATTCTATATAATAGTTTCGCTGTCTGTCTATCTATCTGTGTATGTATCTATCTATCTGTCTGACAAGAACGCTCTAGAGAAAACACAAGCAAATTAAAAACACGCATAGTTAAACGAAAACGAAATATGACGTCACATTTAGCATATAGTAGAAAATAGTATCAAGCCGGAGAGTGCACACAGTAATATGACGTCATTGATTCTCGAGTAAACATAATAAGGCAATTTTGTCTAATCTAAGTGGTTTGGGTGAAGAGTTTCTTTCATACAATTCTTCGGGTAGGGGCGAAGCCCATCCCCCGCGTAAGAACGTCTAAGCCGACCCCCCCCCCCCTCCATCTCAAAAGAAATGTCGTCATCGATACTCTATAATAAAATTACAGCCTAATTAATGTGTCTAATGTAAAAAGTGGTTTGCTTGCAGAGTTTATTTCATGCATCTCTTCGGGTAGGGGCGAAGCCCATTTAACCCCCCCCCCTCTGGTAGAACGTCTAATCCCTCCCCCTAAATAGTTTCTTTCATGCAATTCTTCGGGTAGTGGCTAAGCGCGACACCAGTGTTTCTTTCAGACTTTTTCCTCCCCGGAGGGGGGAACTTATTCTAATCTAAAAAGTGTTTAGCGTGCACAGTTTTCCATGCATATCTTCCGGTAGGGGCGAAGCCCCGCCCAGGTTCTTCCTTTAGTTTGTATGAGCTACAAATGCCACCAGTGTTTCTTTCAGACTTTTTCCTCCCCGGAGAGGGGTGGGGGTACTTGAAATTTTCGGGGGCGGGGGTAGAATTGTCTGAGAGGGGGTGGACACTGGAAAAAAGTATATAATTATATTTCGTTGAAAGGGACGGTAGACATGATTTGGGGTGTGTGTGGGGGGCGGGGGCCCCTCCTCCCAAGTAGAGTTGCCTGAAAGAAACTCTAAATGCGACTTTTGTCATGAATGAGATTAGGTGCATGGTTTAGTGATATGCCTATGACTATATTTTGTATAAATTAAAGTACCGATTCTGGATAAAAATCTGTTTTCAATGTCATTTTCGTTTCCGGTTAAATTTAATTAAGGTGGTGATTTTGGTTTTGAGAAAATAGACAGCACTATCAACCTAGCGCCCGTTGTATCCTTCCTCAACGGGCCATTTTTCTCGTCTATAATAATAGTTTCGCTATCTATCTGTCTATCTATCTGACAAGAACGCTATAGAGAAAACACAAGCAAAATAAAAACTTTCATAGTAAAACGAAAACGAAACATGACGTCACATTGAGCATATAGTAGAAAATAGTATCAAACCGGAGAGTGCACACAGTAATATGACTTCATTGATTTTCGTGTAAACATTGAATTAAAAAAAGCCAATTTTGTCTAAACTTAAAAGTGGTTTGCTTGCAGAGTTTCTTTCATGCAATTATTTGGTTAGGGGCGAAGCTCCAGCCCCCCCCCCCCCCTCAAAAGAAATGACGTCATAGAGAATACTCTATAATAAAAATAACACAGACATTACTGCCTAAATAATGTGTCTAATCTTTCAAATGTTTTGCGTGAAGAGTTATTTCATGCATCTCATCGGGTAGGGGCGAAGCTCCACTCCCGGTAGATCGTCTATGCCGACCCCCCCCCCCTCAAATAAATGACGTCATCAAGACTCCATAATAAAAACACTGACATTACGGCCTAAATTATGTGTCTAATGTTATAAGTGTTTTGCGTGAAGTTTCTCTTCTGGTAGGGGCAAAGCCCCTTTACCCCCCTCCCCCGACGGTAGAACGTGTGTTTCTTTGCGAGTTCCCCCCCCCCTCAGAAGGGGGAGGGGTTCTTGAAATTTTCGGGGGTGAGGGTGGACAAAACGTTTTGGAAGGGGGCTGACACAGGTAAAAATATGTTTTCTATAAAAAGTATATTTCGTTGAATGGGACGGTAGACGTGCTTTATAGTGTGTGTTTGGGGAAGGGGGGGATGCTCGGGTCAGAGCCCCCCCCCCCCCACCAAAATGCGACTTAATTCGTGTTTGAGATTAAGTGCAAGGTTTAGGGATTTGACTTCGACTGTGTTTAGTATCAATGTGCAGTAACTACGTGTAGATCAAGCTTTAAATCCGGTTAAAATGCAGATTCTGGATAAAAATCCGTTTTCAATGACATTTTTCTCTTCCGGTTAAATTTGAAGTTTAGGTGGTGATTTTCTTTTTGATTACGAGTTAAAGAAAAAAGATACCACTATCAACCTAGCGCCCGTTGTATCACCCCCTCAGCGGGCCATTTATCTCGTATTAATAATTATACGCATATTGCTAAAACATATTAATCGGATCAATGTCAAATAATATTTTCGCTTCGATTCCTAGGAAAAAAAATGTATACTTTTTAATAACGGTAGTTTCAAATAAAATAAATTAAGTAAAATATTCAATAATTATGCCATAATTTAAACATCCGCCATCGCGGTGAACAGGCCCGCATTAAAAATGGCGATATGTGCAGTGAAAGGTTGTGATACTCGAAGTAGCAGATCTAAAGGGATTCCTTTATTTCGACTGCCAAGGGTTATATTAAACCAAGGTGATAGAGATCGGCAGTCAACAGAACGTAGACGTTGTCAATTTTTAGCCAATATTTATCGAAGCGATGTAAGTGAAGCAGCGGCAAATAAACTGCGAATATGTTCCTGACACTTTGTTTTTGGTAGGGACAATAAACAATAAACTTCATTTTCAGTAACTAAAGAAAACTGTTAATAAAACAAATATGCTCGGCCTTCATAAATATTAATAGCAATAGACCAAAGTCAAAAGTAATAATAACATTTAATTGGAATATTCATTTAATATTAAATATTTAGATCTAGAATCTAGCACTAAATCTAATCATGTTGTAAACGAAATTAAATCTAGATTTAGGGTGACTGGCTACGCTAGGTAGACATAGAATCTAGAATCTACTTATTTAATCAAATTTAATTACAAAATTAATTAAATTTAATTACAAAATTTAGACCTATATTCGATTTATAATACACCAATAATAAATAAATAAAAATAGGCCTAATCATTAAAAAAAATTTCTCTAAGATCTAGAATCTAGCTCTAGATTCTAATCCTTTTATTTAATATTTAGTTAACAAAATTATCTGAAATTGAAATAGATTGTATAACTAGACTTAGATCTAGAATCTGCAACTGAAGTTGAATTTTAAAAGTAAATGATATTTTTGTTGTAGAAGGCTTTAATAAATTACTTAGGCCTACCTAATATGTGTCTAATTACAGTACTTATCATTATTTTTTCTAATTTTTCTAATTTTTTTTAGTTTATTATTACATAAAAGTTTGTTATGAAAACGATTTTAATTCTTCTTTTTAAAAAGACATACATTTAGAAATGTATTTAAAAAATAAATTTTAATCTGATATTTTATGCTAAGAACGTTAAATATTTACGATAAAATAAAAACATAAGCAGGCAGAAAGTGTATTTTTCTTCCGAATGTATTCAGAAGAAATCGGGGACTGCTGTGTCAGTCCACTCTCACTTCTGTTCAAGCAATAGCCTACCTACATCAAACAGATATCAATTTTTATTATACAAATTGTTATACCGTTTATGTAGCCTAAGGTATTTAAGAAATGTTTTTACAACTTTTTTCTAAAACCTACCTGACCCATTACAATAAAGCATGAAATCAACACTTGAGAAAAAGGACTAATTAGTTTTAATCCTCTTGTTCCTTGAGCTGCAGCGTGAAATATTCTGTAGATTCTTATTGCTTTGACTAGCAGTGGAGCATATAAAAGATTTAGCGAAAAGCAAAACATCCAGTAGGCTAACGCACACGATACATGAGTGGGTGGTGTCACATAGAGAAGCATGGTAACAAATCCCAACAGAATTGCTAATAACTGAAGAAAGCTAAGTTCCAAACTTGCAGCCTTAATTACACTGGCCTCCTTAAAGTAGTAATAAGCAAAAAGTACAACGACTGATGTTATAATTCCTAAAAGGCTTGAAGTAATTTCAAAAATAGCTATTCCATCTTTATAGGCAGGAAAACTTGGAGTGATTGATTCACACGTTGTTAAATTTGTGAGTATGTTTGGCCAGAAAAACATATCACACTCATGACAGTTGGTTCTATTTTGAATAACAATCTCACTTGCTCTGCAAGACTTGCACTCCCAGCAGCACTTTTGGTGTATAGAATTATAAATTATATACTCTCCAACATTACACAGTCTACTACAAACTGATACGGGTGTAGTGGCGTCATATTTTGCTAGAGGATGTATAGGTATTTTAGAACCAGAAGGATATTCTTCAACATTTGTCTTTTTCAAATATCTCCATGTAATATTTCCCAGCTGTGTAGTTGTTAGATTTTCAGCATTAATAAACATCACCGGTAGTCTCTGGAACGTGCCATCATTTGTTGCCGGCAAAATTTGGCTTATTACATAATTTCCCACCATATTGCCAGAATCATCAAATCTAACTTCTCCCGAGTATCCTGAAATGAAAACATAGCAGTCCGTTCTCATCAGTAGCGTTTTCCAAAACGAAATTAGGCTAGGTATTACGTTTTTTAAACTGACAGACTTTAAAAATCCGTTATTTTATTCATATTATAATCTTAAATCAGATTTTACCTACCTTGAAAAGATACATTTTTTAAGAACTCAAATAGAATTTCTCCTCTAATACAATCACGCGCTTCTTTGCCACTTGTGGAAGGACACTCGTTCATCAACAGTTGTTGAATAGCGTTAGCGTATGTATAAACTGAATCCATGACTTTACTTACAAGTGCTAAAGGATGAAATCGAACACTGTTTTTTAAATTTTTAATATGTTTACATGTATCTTCAGCAAAAGAACAATCATTGGACCATTCCCAGAAGTCTCGAAACCATGGATTATTTGTAGTTGATGGATTTAAATTCTGGAAATATTCATTAAAATGTGGAACTTGTGGAGCATCAATCAACGAAGTAAACGAGCCGTAGAGTACTGATTTGTATTTTGAAGGAAGCATGGTTAATCTTTCAGCCCAGCCATCACTTCCTACCCATATAAACATGCTAGTCATATTTAATTTGTATATAGCTTCAAAGAGCCCTACCATTTCATCACCCCCAAGAAATGCAATGACAACTCTTGCTCTCGGATATTTCATTAGTTCTCCTAAAATATCCATGTAATCTTCGATCGCCATAGCTAGAGTTGTTTTACGTTGTGTAGCAATACAAATATCAAACTTAGCAGCTAAGCGTTTCACATTGTTATAAGCAAACTCGCCGTAGCTACCTGCCGAGTACACGGCGCTTATGTATGTCCAACCTTGGGAAATGATAAATTTGAAGATAGCTTCAACTTGGTATTTATCTGGAGGAATGACTCTTAAAAAATTGGAATGTAGTTCTTTGTTAGATAATTCATCACTAGTTGAAAAAAAGCTTATTTGTGGAATTTTTGCCGGACCTAAAACATAAGACACGGCAATGCTGTTTTCACTTCGTTGTGGCCCTATGACTCCTACGACGTCATAATGATCATCTTGAAGAAAAGAGTTTTCTAAATGCTTACTTAGACAATGTTTGTTATCGTTTCGTGGCAAGAATCTCAAGGCTTGTGCCACTGCAGTGGATTCTTTTACACAATCGTCTAAAATAACGTAACCAAGAGTAATGTTAGGAAGTAACGTTCTATTTCTGTTGATCTCATCTATAGTGTAAACGATTGCCTCGACATACTGCTGTAGAAGAGGAAAGCGAATTCTTTGACCACATAACTCATGCTGAGCATATTCAGTGATAGCCATAAAAGCACCAATATTGATATCCCCTAGTCTGACATAAGATCTCAGTGGCCGATTCGGTATAGGCCGAATGGCTGCCACTACTAAAATGCATTTTAAGCACACAGTTACCAAGGTAATTCTCCGTTTCATTTTAAATCCGTTTAATAGTATAGGTAATTGATAATTGTGATCAGCGTTAGTTGTGATCAGAAATAGTTTCTAATTTTGTTGTTGCACATGTAAATACCAATTAGACCTCTATATATAACACAATTAAAAACGAATTCCGTAATATGATTTTTTTATCAAACTGCACATCGATTCAGGGAGCTGCTGCTACACGTACAATATACTTAGCCATAAAGTCCTTAGTCTACCAAACCCCCATATGGTCTAAAAAAATGCAAACTAACTAGCTGGAATACCAGTAGCCTATAATGAGAGTACATTGACGCGACAGATCATAGATCAAAACAATTAATTGCATACACACATGTAGGGCAGGGGCGGAATAATTCTCAGCGGAGCAACTGGCTGAAGTATTTTTTTACACTTTACTATATTGACAATTTTACATTTCAATAGGGGGTTGTCTATGTTAGGGTTGCTGTGAGAGGGTCGAACTTAACCTGACGTGATCCGCCACCAATACAATTTTAAGAATTCAATTTCTTTGCTCAGGCAAATCAAAACGATAGAAACGATATCACTTACCACAATATATATATGATGGGGGTTTATGTATGCCGTGCGTTATACGTTATATCACCTATATATTCTGACTTCTATTATTCATACTGCAACTATACACATGTGAGGAGGACTGGAAACACTCTTATTTTCCGCAGACACTAATTAATGATGTCAACAACTTCGTTCATGAAAAAGCATTGACTTTATTATCACACACTTATAGATCTATTACACAATATCAAAATACGTCCTTTTTCTATAATGGCTAACCCCTAACTAACTTAACTGCTGCGTCCTACGTCATCGGTAACATTGTCGCGTCATGCTCACGTCACACTCGCGCCAAAAATATTTTATTAAACACGCGCAAATACTCTCGCACCAAACCGTCTACAGTCAAGTTCATACTGTCCTCAGTAGCCTCTACTAGTCTAGTCTAATTCTATATACCTACGCTATGGTATATATATATATATATACAGTGGCGTAGCGAGGTCGGGTGTCACCCGGTGCGGCACTTAATGGTGTCACCCCCCAGAGGCGTAGCGACCCTTCCCGGGGACAAATTTTCGATTTGCACCCCCCCATCAAGTTTTCGATTTGCATCCCCCCCTCAAACTTTCGATTTGCACCCCCCCCCCTCAAACTTTCGATTTGCACCCCCCCCTCAAGTTTTTCTCTATATATTTTGCTATTTTTTGCCTTGGTGTCACCCCTCTAAATGGTGTCACCCGGTGCGGTCCGCACCCCCCGCCTCCCTCGCTACGCCCCTGTATATATATATATATATATATATATATATATATATAAATATATATATATATATATATATATATATATATATATATATATATATAAAGCTTAGTTACAAAAAAAAAAACAACAACACACAAATAAGTTGTGTTGAACGTTAATACACATAAAAAAGGATTTTTAAAAAATGTACTTATCTTAATCAAGATGAAAACGTTGACTTCAGCTTAAATCCCAAGGAATGAATGGGTGTGACTTCGGGGGGAGGGGGGGTAAGATTATTGGGGTACGTGTCGTAGGGGGGATGTGATGCACTACAAAAGAGTCTCATCCGGTTTTGGATTACTGCCCGGGACCACGGTGACAAAAACGTTGTCCGTGTCTACAATTAAGGCGTCAGATACGCCTTTATTTAATGGCTGTTTCTCTCTTAGCCTGTTTAGGAATTCCTATAGTGTAACTAATACAGATGAGAGTGTGAATTGAACTAGAAATGTTTCTTTTTTTTTTCTCTCTTAACCACTTGGTCAAAACGTCAACTTTTAAAGAGACGAGTAATGCTAAATATCTCAAACTATTTGAACCTTGAATACAACAGAAGTGTACCTTGGTTGGCTAAAGCTGCCAGGCCTACCATACCTTAATACTTAAAAAAAAATACTTCTACATCGGACTGTGTTTAAAAATCCACTGTGCTAGACTCTCCCTACAACTTGGACGTGTTTTCATAAATTTAACACCCAGGTAACGCCTGTCCAGTTCAGGTGGGGGGAGGGGGGGAATCCATTAACGGCTTCCATGGCCTAAAAACCCACACCGCATCCCCACATTACACTACATCAATATGGGCTCAATAGCTCTATAGATAGCACTACTATAAACTGGAATTAAACTGGCTCTGTATGTGCCCCCAATTACTTAAAAGAAAGCTCTACTCAGAATTAAAATTACTTTAACTTTAACACTACTTAAATCATGCTCTTCCTATTCATAAAAATCAATATGGGCGCAATTATTCTGAATATCACTACAATGCATCGAAAACAATATGTTGATTTTTATTCTTGAGGTTGTCGTTACAGTGTATTAAAAACAATATGGGCATTCTTATTCTTAAGTATGCTCATATAATGCATGAAAATGATTATATTCTAAAGGATGCGCCTACAATTTAAAAAAACAAGGTAATTAAAAAGTCTAGTGACAATTTTAGCGCAATTTCCTTATGCTATCTAAAAATAGCTCTGTCGTAGCGTAAATAAAGAGCAGGGTTAGTAAAACCATTGGTTAGTTATTAAAACGTTTTTTATTAATTTTTTTTTCAGTATTTTACATGTTTTATTTACAATAGAGTTACATGACTAAAAACCATTGCGCGCCTAGCTACTGAACGTGATGACGCAGCCATTGAACGTGATGACGCGTGTGGTGTGGTTGGATAATTCGGTCCAAATTTTAATTAAGTAAAAAAAATATTTGTGACCGAACGAAAGGATATTTTTGAAAACTTTCTTCGGCAATATTGTTCTAAATTATGACAGGAATCGATTGGTACATGATTCAAGTCGCTAAGTGGTCTGGTTGCCGAGATATGGGCAAAAAACTGCATTTTTAAAAAAGTTTTTTTGGCTTTTCCGGGAAATCCATGAAAGAAACCCGGAATTTTTATGGCCTATGTTCATCATCGTAACTTGCTTAAAATAATTGCTTTTGGAACTAGTCCTCGATATTGCTTCGTTGAGGAGGAGATACGACTTAAAGCTGCGGACACACATTCATACATTCATCCATCCATCCATTCATCCATCCAGAAATGACGGGTTAATAAACGCAATTCTCCAGAATGGAAATTGCACTAAAAAAAGCATGGGCGTTATTACACTACAAATGGCCATATATTTCACCAAAGATGCCCCAAACATTTATAATAATAATATGGGCATAATTACCCTTTGGATGCCCTCAAACTGTATCATAAAGAACATGTACATTAAAAGATTTAGAGATGCCCTCCCTCCCCCCAATGTTAACAATGATGTTTGGTGTAATTACTGTCGCATGCCCTTCGAGTGTATTACATGAATATAAGCATAATTACTTTCAAGATGCCCCTACAATATATAAAATGAAGATGGGCATACTTACTGTATGGATGCCTTTAAAATGCATTATAAAGTGAAGTGGGCATATTACTAGATGCTCATAAAATATATCATTATGAACATACGAATAATTACTTTAAAGATGCCCCTAATAAATAATAAATGTAATATAATTTAATCGACGGATGTACTTGATAATGAGTATAACGACTACGTGCATATTACTTCAAAGATGCCTCATAGAGTGCATGGGAATAATTTGGTCATAAGTGCTCTAAAAGATGCCCCTACACCAGTGGCGTAGCCAGGATCGTCTCATGGGGGGGGGGGGGGGGTTCAAATTTTTTTCCAGCATAAGAAAAAAACATACAATGTTGGCCGACAAAATAAAACAATTTATCACTCTAACTAAAAAAAAATAAACACACAATAAACGCAATACAATCTGTTTTGTAATCCTAGTAAAAAAAACCAATTTGACATAATGATTCCTAGCATATTAAGACAAACGAACTAGGGGAAATAATCACTCTCTTAATATAAATATGTATATTTCTACAAATTTAATTGTAAATGTCAAAACATATAACTAATTACTTTAGTATGTAGTAAAAAAACTTTATTTTATTCGTTGTTACAAAAATATGTTGTCTACAATCAGAATTAAATATATTGTTCTCATAAATGCTAAAATCTTACAGCATAATGTAAGTTTTAAAAATCAGAGTTGGTATAAAACCACGCTTTTCGATATTATTTTTTAACTAAATCTAATAGGTGTTACATTTTAAATTATAGCCTACTTGTTCCTAAAATATTGGTCTTACAGTTCAGGTCACACATTTTCTGATTCGCTACTGATTTTTGTGTTCTTTAAAGATAATTTTTAAAAAATAATCAGAAGATATGGTTGGATCACTGTATTGCACACACATCTCTTTACTGGTAATTGCAAAAATAATATTTAAAGAATTTTACCTGTTTCAAAAGCTATTTTTCTGGCGGCAAGGTACATTGGTACCTCATTACGCGTTTTCCCAAATGTACTAACAGATCAGTTGAGGTAGGTTGGGAGGGGGGTCAATTATCCCACCTAGCGTATACCTAGGTGTGACATTAATGTAGGTGGTCAAGCAGTGGGGGGGGGGGGGGGGGTTGGGTGGAACGAAATCAGAGTGAACATAGCGTCAATTTTTAGATGATAGTTCTAAATATACATATACATTATACAAGTATACATATATACTGATTCAGAAATAGATTTAAGCAAGTAACAGTAGTATTATGACAGTAAATGGTTTTATAGAGATGTCGATGGGGGGGGGGGGTGTAACCCCCCTAACCCCCCCTCCCACCCCCGCCTACGCCGTACACTAAAATAAAAAAAAATATCACACGCATTTATTAAGGGAATAACAATGACTAACATAGGACTGCCCTTCACTGATGCCCACTTTTTCTATATAGGTTTTGCCATACGGACAGTGTAATGTCAAAACGAGTGGCAGACGATTGGGTGTTACAATTTGTTTTGGGTGAGATCGGCAAACATATGAAAAGTTACGATGACACCATGACACAACATAATGCAACTTTTTTTTA